CATGCCCATTATCCAGTTTTGATATTGGGAGTAGGCGGAGTTATCATCCGATTATCCACCTATTTGCACACTGTCGATGAAGTGTCGAAAATATTTGTCCTGTACAAAGTTGATTGATATAGCTTGAGTGGGGGGGACGGGGTCGCCTCAAGTTTTTAAATATTTTCAAACCACAATTGCTCCTCCCTAATACAATTCGTTGTACCAAATTACAGTTTTGTATATTAATTTGCGTCTTAGTTATGGTACTGTATAGGTTTTCGATTAATGGCGTTTTGTGGGTGGATACGATTCCTCTCATCTACAATACCGAACTTCTTATGGTGCCACGAAATATGTGTACAGAGTTTTTTCAAGATATCTTAACAGACAGTCACCTGGATTTCAACTTATCATCCTGATCATTTATATATATATAACTCTATATCTATTTCGATTAGTTTTAGATGATACAAACAACCCTTAGGTAAACACAACTGTTTAACTCTGTAACAACATGTTAAAATTAGATATAAATATGTGATACTAGGATGTCTGCAAACGCCCCTGAAGCTTAAATTTTTGGCCCAAAAAAGGATTCAACCTAAACAAGTTCTATAGATCTTCTTTCAACTTAAACGCCACACGAACTAACGCAAAAAAACATGATGGACGGAATTTCCATCTGCGAATCGCTGCTGAATCGCAACAAAATCGACTCGTTTCTGAAGTGGATTGATACTGGCGATGAAAAATGGGTCACTTACGACAACATCGAGCGCAAACGGTCTTGGTCAAAGCTCGGGGAAACAGCCCAGACGGTGGCCAAGACCGGATTGACGGCCAGGAAGGTTTTGCTGTGTGTTTGGTGAGATTGGCAAGAAATCATCTACTACGAGCTGCTTCCCTATGGCCAAACGCTCAATTTGGCCCTCTAGTGCCAACAACTGGACCGCTTGAAGGCAGCATTCATCCAGAAAAGGACATCTTTAATCAACAGAGGCCGAATTGTGTTCCATGAGCACAACGCCAGGCCACACACGTCTTTGGTGACGCGCCAGAAGCTCCGGGAGCCGAACGAACTTTTTCCAATAATATCTCTTTTCCCATTTATATAATATGAGATTTTTTGATATATTGGATTAGGCAATTTAATCTAAAACTTTGAAAAAGTGCTATTCTGATATAAAAGTATCCCCTCTACACAAAAGGTCGTAATGATTTTTTTCATAAAAATATTCCTTAAAAAGTTATTCGCAGTTAAAATATATATCAAATGGGCTAAGCATTCATACATGTGATTTATACATTCTGTGTTGTCATACGCTCATGCATAGCTATAAATGTGTATAACTTTTAAAGAAATATTTTTATGAAAAACAAAAAAATTCCTTAAAATTTTATTTTGTAGAGCGGAAATTTTTTTATTAGAATATCACTTCTTTAAAGATGTAGGTTTATTTATTTGCTTTGGTGATAAAAAATGTATTGCAAAAGAGCAAAAAATCTCATATAAAATATATGGGAAAAGTAAAATCATTTACTGAGCTTGTTTACGATGGATCTTTTTTTAAGGGCAAACACTGACGCTTCAGGGGGCGCAACTGAAGAGGCTAAATATAATATATTGGGTGTCAGATTGGTGAACTAGATACGGAAAATATTATGTTAGGCAAAAAGGCTTCGATCGTGATCATTTAATTCATATTGAGCACTGAACCATATTTTGTTTTAAAACACATATCCACTTAATTTCTTTTAAATATCACACAACATTAACGGTTTAACGTCAGATGAAAAGAAATCACTATATTGGGGCTAAAAGAAGGTCCACATTGCTCAAGTATACTCGGGAACTTGTTTTTACGCAATTTTGTAAAATAACTAACACATTGACTGATATAATATATTCGGTATAAGTATAGTCAGCTAGAATAACGTAGATCAATGTATGAAACCTAGGTTCACTTGATTTTACTAAGACATCTTACATATTGACCGATATATACATTATAAATCCAACCTGAAGTTTGAAATTTGTATTTTGGCATATAAGAGCTAGAGGTAGTATTTAACTGATTTTATCGGCGACGGACAGACAGACAGAAGGTCAGAGGTTTGATTTAAAACAAAAAATCGTTGTTTTTAAACACTTTATAAATTTTTGAAGTAACATTATTTTCACACTTCTGTGTTGTGAAATATTTTTCAAGTACTTACATGGTTTACTGATGCATTAATACGATTAGAATAGTACAATATTTATAATTGTGCATTAATGCTGCATTCTTATACATTGATAGTCATCTATTTGAGTTTTCCAGAATTTGAGAAATGCTTTTAATTACTTTGAACAGTGTTCCCTAAAAATGTAAACTCAGTGTTTTATCTGTGTTCTTAAGTAGACTAGCTTCTGTAGCCTTCCGCAAATAACAATCCTGATTCAGTATCCAACGCATAACGACATCTACAATCCAATTGGGGAATTAAATGTGAATTCGTTCGAACTGCCCAGTTTTAGAGAAGTTTCATACCTCAGCAACTGATTTAAGAATTTGTTGTTTTATTTGCACTATATATTTATATCATAGTTTGGAAATAGGTGAAATCAGGAACAAATTAGCAAATTTGGATGGTTTCAAGGGTCAAGAATACGAATATATTCATTAAAGTATTGAACGTGCTCTTATTTTTATGGTAATTGCTTATTTTCTATTTTGATCAAATGTCGGCTTCTTAGTACTAATAAAATTTAGTTTTCTTCTGGATATTTTTTCGGATAGTTTTGGAAATTATAGTGAATCACAGAGAGAGCATATGATGTCAGATTACTGTTGATCCTTAAAAGCAGGCAAGCTCATAAAAGGTGTTTTATTGAAATATAACAGTTTTGGATATTTGTCTCTCTGTTTACTTGAATGTATTCTTATTTTTTTAAAACAAAATGAGCATTACAAACAAAGATATTATTTTTTCATGTTTTCTGATTTTTGTAATGTAAAGTGGAAACAAATCATTGATAGTTTCATGATTTGTGACCTCAAATATATCTAAAACCAGTAGATTTGTTTTCGGTTAATGGCGTTTTGTAGGCGTGGCATGGGTCCGATCTAGCCCATCTACAATACCAATCGTATTACGGTACCAGGAAACATGTGTATCAAGTTTCATCAAGCTTCTAAATTTTTACTCAAGTTACAGTTTACAGACGGACGGACGAAAGGACAAAGAGTCACCCAGATTTCAACTCGTCTCTTCATACTGATAATTTATGTATAATTCGGTTAACTCGAGTACTTGCCAACTTAATTCCATTAAAGTGTCACACATTTTGATCAACCTAAACTATTTAAATTCCGCAGTAAAGTTGGAAATAACTATACAGGGTATATTAGGGGCAGAAAAAGGGCTGGGCTTATTGTATTAACCTTTGACATTATTAAAGTATACTCCAGAACATATTTTCAAGCAATTTGATAAATAAATAACTCACACACTGACTGACATATTAAGTATAAAGTAAAAATAAAGATACTATTTTATGTACATACAATATATGGGAATTGAGTACTTCGTTTCCTAAATTCGCATTTTTTCGGCGTTAGACTACAGCATAACCAATAAATTACGTTCACTTAAATTTCCAAACGATATCGTACATACAGACCGATATACGCAGAACAAAGCTCTCCAGAAGTTTAAAAATCTTATATAAGGTATATGGGTGATATGGGTAGTATTGATCCGACTTTATCCATTTTTGGCATTACTACATGTTGCTAACATAAAAAATTAGAATGAATGAGTTTCATTCAGGTACCTCACATACCATCAGCAATATATTAATCCGATTTTATCTATTATAGCCAACAGATGCACCGTTATTAGAACTAATTTACATATTGGCCGATATATGCGGTATAAAGTCAGCCGGTAGTACAAAAATCTTTCTAATAGATATATAGGGGCTAAAAGAAATATTGACCCGATCCAACCGATTTTTGACATACATGCTCCGAATTCCAATAACATATCTCAGAGATTTACCGATATTTTCGATAAAATGTTCGCTGTAAGAACTGGGGTCTACATATTCGGTATCTGGGGTTGCACAGTTGTAGTCTGATTTTGACTATTTTTTGTCACAATTTTGCCTACTTTAAGCGCAATATTCTGGCAATTTTCGCTCCGTAATATAAGTATCTCATGATAATGTTACTTACCAAATTTGGTTGACATCAGTCAAGTAGATCACGAGATATGGGTTTTCACCTATAGGTGGGCAGTGTCACGCCCATTGCTCAATTTTTGTATTGGCTCCAATAAAGCTTAATTGTACCATCCTAGTGTAAAATTCAATGTCTCTGACTTGTTTATTTAATGAGTTATCGCACTTTTAGCAGTTTTAATCAACACAGATTGATTAATGGCGTTTGCGTGGCAGTAGTCCGATTACTCCCATCTACAATACCAACCTTCTTACGATACCAGGAAACATGTGTACCAAGTTTAATCAATATATCTTAGTTTTTAGTCAAGTTACAGCTTGCATAGACGGACGGACGGAGAGACATTAATCTTCATCCGAAATTTTTACATATATACGAGTATATAACTCTTTATTTAATTCGATTAGTTTTGGGTACTACAAACAGGCGTTGGGTAAACAAAACTATTACACTCGTTAATTGCAAAATCTTCCCTCTCTCTCTGTTCCAAATTCCATAAGTTTCTACATACAAACATATATATATATATATATATAAGAAAGTCAAGCGATAAGGAAAATAACCAAAAATGTAAACGATAGTATTCTAATCTTGATATAATAATAGAAAATTAAATTGTCTGGATGAACATTCATACATGTACATTTATGTATCTTAATATACACAAATGTGCCATAAGAAATATATTTCTAAAACGTAGCTCTCAGGCCCCTCAGGCCCTATTTAAGAAGGTTTATTTTTAAAACAAGCTTAAAAAACTTTGTTTAATGTGGATAAAATAGTTTTACTTACCATTTAACATAGACGAAGGTCCAGCACCACCTGCCACTATCACACCATTGCCACTGACAACAGTGCCACCTCCAACCCCATTTCTGCTTCCGCTGACACGACTACCGGCTGCGCCGACAACACTTACTGTTGCTGTGGTGTAACCTGCGTTGTCGTTGGCTTGGCTGCTGCTGCTAATACTGCTACTTCGTTGTGGCGCTATAATTTTGCTGGTGGAATCCCCACCTGTTGCTGAGAGCACAATGAGCGCTCCGATTAGAGACCAAAGGCCCATCAGCTTACTTCTTTTTTTATACAGTTCGCACAGTACATTAATTCGTAACAAAGGAGACATTGACGTTTGCACATTATTCACTGCCGATTTAACCGCCCCAATCTTTCAAGTATTCTTCTATGATTTGTCCTCAAATTGTTATTAGCAAAAAATTTGGGAAATAAATCTGTAATAAAAGATATACCTATTGTTCATAAATATTTAAAATGAAGTGGTAAAATTGTTAAAATGCTTATATAATAATTTCAGAATTATTTCTATACAGTTATTATACCCAGGTTGTTATATACAGGTTTGTAATACCAAGAAGCAGTTATTACTTCGTATTTGTGCCTTAATTTCTTTCCAACGAGTATATTCTTGTTCTGAGGGCTGGAAATATCTCATGAGGTAGATCAAAAATACCAATACTACCCGTATCTTCCATACACCTGAGATAAAATTTTCAAACTTCCGGTTAGCTTTTAATATAGGTGCCCCACCCCTAATAGTTTAATTTACATACAAGTATATACCAAACCACTGAAATTAGTCAACCAACCTTGCTGGGAAGAAGCCTTTTTAGCACTTTTTCATATACTCCTCATATAACGGTTATGCTGAAAACTACTAAAAGTGACATAACTCACTAAATACATACGTCACAACCATTAAATTTCAAAACCAAGATTGTAGGGAAGGACTATATAGGAATACGTTTAAAAGTTTGACAATGTAACGCCCATCTTTGGATAAAATCCTTTATCTCACCACTTCACCAATTGCAGCCAAATTTGTTGTGAGGTAACCCAGACATTCCATTCACACACTGTGAAAATTGACGAAATCGGATGACAACCACGTTTACTGATGATGGCTGATTTTTCCGAACAAATCGGTCGATCTGTGAGGTCTAGCCTTGAAGTTCGGGCAATACTTCCCTTATCCCTTATATACCTGATAGCAATTTGTAAACTAAATTTACTCAAATTATGAGAAATCGTTCTTATGCTTTTTGTATACGCTTATAATTGATTTTATATAGAATGCATTACAACTGTATTGAGAAGTAGGAAAAGAAATCGTTTTTGAACAATGAATAACATTTTTTATTTATTATATCGATATTATTATACATGTTTAGCTTAAAAATAATAAATATTAACAACTATAAAAATGATATAATATTATTATATTAATTTGTATATAATATTTACAATATTAAACATAAATTTTTGTAGAGATTCTTATACATATATCCAAATTATATTTCTTTTTCCCTTATACTATTTAATTTCTATCATATATTTATACAATAATGTCATATATAATAACAAATTATATATATAATTTAAATTTTCTTAATTAGGTTATTTACATATTTTTCTTTAAATTGTTTTAAAAACTACTGTCAAAATTCCTATACCATTCCAATTCGATTATATTTGGAAAAAAAAAAAAATGAAGAACTATTGCACTAAGTCTGAAAACTTTAGTTCGAAATAGAGACACAAATACTGTCATGATAGCTGTGTACTGTCTCAAAAGTAATTGCATTTACACGGGAAGGATCCATGTTTGAAAATGCCCAATCAATTTGTGTACCGGCAGGTGTAGTTGAATATTCTGCACCAAGCAGGGAACTAAAGTTTTTTTCTTGGAGCAGATTTCTTATTGCAGTCCCTGTAGACATTAAACAAATGTTATAATCTCCAACAATTAGCACATTTTGATTGCCTAACTCAGAAGTAAGGACTTCCTGAAGTTCTACAATTAATTGTCTGACAGAGAAAGCTGAATTTCTATATAGAACCAGAATATTAATATTGAAACATTTAAACAAAATCGCTTCTAAAACTTTGCGGCCTGAATAAATTTTCTTTACAGCCTTTGATTCTATAGAGCAAGCAATACTATGCTTTGCATATATTATAATGCCCTGTTTATTTCTGTTGGTTGTTTCCGTGCTATCTATCCTCAGCTCGTTAATTGGAGTAAATCCTGGTATATCAAAACTTTCGCAAGGATAACTCCAAGTTTCTACAAAATATAAAATATCTGAAGATAGCATCAAACAGTCGTTTTTTATATCACTAATGTGAGTATGAAGACTCTAAACATTATGGAATAAAATTTGATGTCCTGATGTTCGGGAAATCATAAAATTGAAACTTGTTGTCAAAGCTTTATTTGTGTTCAATTCCCTCAGTTCCCTAAATACGGGATCCGATTCAGAAAATTTGTTAGGAGGAATAAAATTTCCTATGATGAATAGACCTTCTGCAGAAGTAGCTCGACTACAAGCGACATAGGTATATTGAAGCTCTAGGTATTCTGTGTCGAGTCTTTATTATATGTGGCCCCTGACTTTTATGAATAGTTATTCCCTCAGCCGGAACAACTGGAAACTGATTTCTTTCAATTGAAATTTGTTCATTTCTTTTGTATTGAAAAGATTTTAGAACTTTTTCAATTGGTGTCCAAGAACTTTCTAGAGGATGAGGCTTTTTTGATCGTGCTATCAAACCAACAGAAGGTTCCAAAAATTTAATCCACAGAATTGTTAGAAAAGAACAATGGAAATCAATTTGCATAAGTTGTCCAGCTGCCCCATTAACCAAGCTATCACACGTGTTTATGTTCTCTGTAATCATATATTTGGCGGAGGTTTTTAGTGTCAATTCATAGGGCAGTCCCTGCGTTTCAGAAGTTTTGAAAAGTTTAACTCTTTCCAAAATATTATCATTTTCATTTATACCAATTCTTGTAACTGAGTCTTTTGCAGTTGAAAGGAAAGCTTCTGTTGGGATTCGACTGAGCTTAAGGGCATTGAAATTATTTGTCTCTTCATTGGACCAAAATAAATGTATGGCATCATCGGGAACTTCTTCGAAATTAACTACTCGAGTTTCAATGAGTGATATGTCCTCATTTGTCATAGTACCAGATGCCATATAATTTAATGTAATTGCAAAGGCCTGATCCTCCCGTTGTCTCATTATCTCTGTTAATTCAAAGTATTTAAATAACTCCCACAAAGGCGAACCAACTAAAGTGCTGTATGCATCATTGGGATTAGGAGAGAATATCCACCTATCTCCAACAGGTGAGAGTTGCTTCAAATCACCAAACGCTATGATCGGTATACCACCGAAGGGGCTGTCTGTTTTGAAAATTTGTTTTAATCTCGCATCAACAGAGCTAAACATATGAGCACCTACCATCGATATTTCATCAATTATGATTAATTTTAAATCGATTAGTCTGGAATACAATGAATTCACTGTGTCATTGCTAAGTGGCCTCAACGCTCTATTCAACTGATTAACAGGTAAAGAGAATATTGAATGAAGGGTCATTCCCATTCCGAATGCTGCTTTACCCGTAGGTGCGCAAAGAAGAACTTTTAAGGAACTTGAATTGGATCCAGGTGTAGAATTGTAACGATGGTTAAGAGCTTGATATATTGCAGATATCAATCATCGCCGCCAATGAACTCATAAAATGGGAGATTTGTTTTTAGGTGGTGCATCAAATGTGTCAAATAGGTTCTTTGCTTAGTATTTAGACTTTGAACTAAAGAAAATAATTCCTCAACTGGAATTAAAGGGGGTAGTTTAATAAGTCTAATATTGCAATCAGATTCAGTGCTATCATCTGTTGAATCTTCGCCATGCAAGTCCAGCAAAATTATATTTGGGTTTATTTCTGTAAGTACCAACACTCTGAACTCATTTTCCACGATAGGTAGTTCATTTTGAGCACCTTCGTCCAAGTCTATTTCAATATAAAGACTTTCTAGAACATTTTCAAGTTCTCTTTGCCCAAAAACATCATATTTTCTTTAATTTTTCTCAATTATAATACGATGTGTTATGCAAGTCTGGTCATTATCGTTTTCAATGAGATCTTGCTGTTCATTCCGCCAAGGATAGTAAAGCATTAACATTTCGCGGAAATACTCAACTCTGGCCAAATCTGGCTTAAACCTTCTATACCTTCTATACAAGGTTTGGTACGTTTTTTCACAAAACCGCTACCTTCTTTAAGAGGCATTACAACTCCGTTTTCTGGTAAATTATCGTCTTTCCTCTCTTCTTCTTCATGATCACTATCTTGTGCTCTTCTACTAGATTTAAAATATTTATACCTAGATGCAAAATCAGCTAAACAAAGAGTTTCTAACTGATCGGATCTTTGAACATAACGGTCTAAAATACCGGCTACGAATATTTCAATCGAACCTGAAGGAAGGTTCTGAAGTTCCGCTCTAGGTTTTACCATTCGAACACGTTCCTCAGGTCGAGAGGTATTTATAAATATGTCTGCATTACTTGCTTCCGAAAGATGGAGCCCAATGCAGCAATATACTGCTTCTTGTGCAGATATTTATGTGCCTGATATAAATTTGTGACCTATATGTTTAAGTTTTTGCTTAATAGTATAATTTCCAGCATTTACCTCTGATATAGCTTCATTTAAGAGCCTAGAAATTCCCCTGTTAGACTTGTTAATATAATTAATTATATATGAACAGCAAGCATATGCATCCAGTATATATTGGATATTCATATTTGCTCTATGGAGGTCCAAAATCAGAGGATTATAAGCGTTTATAAAACGATCCTGTAATTTTCTTTTTAGAAAAATTTTGGGTTTTGTTAAACTTGACCTAAGGGCTAACAAATAGTCATCAAAAGACATATTTATTCAACTATCAGACAGGAAGTGTTCAAAATCGTTTAAATTAGAAATGTCTTCTGTAGTCATATTTGAATTTAAAAAGTTTTGAATTTTGAAAAAGTTTTCCTTGTGTCTTTCTGAATTTTGACTTGCTTCTGTAAGAGGTAACAGTATTTGCGTTGAAGGCTTTGGTGGATATGGTATACCAAAACGACAAAACTGTTGTCCTCTTATTTCCCTAGTACAAAACCTACTGTGGTTATGCTTTTGATAACCCAAATAATTTTCTAAGTGGCTGATCGAACCATCGGTAGAAATATAATTGTCAATAAAACTCAGGGAATGTCTGAGGATCTGGAAGGTTGATCCTGGGAGAATTATTAAGCCAATACATGCCATGTACATGCGGGGAACCTCTCTGTTGAAACTCCACTCTTCAGTAGAAATTTGTAACAAAATGCTCGCCAAAAATGCCGGCGTTATCTTTAAAAAGCTTTAGAATTT